CAACCGTTTTTATGTAACAGCCGGTAACAGCTGTTTACATTCCCGGCGGGATTCTGCTCACGCGCACACATTAGTGGGCGCGTGTGAGCAGAAAAAAATCACGTACATATACGGCCACCCCGCCGTGTTTTGACAATGGGCGGACGGCAAGCGGTTAAAAAATAGATTGGGCCCATACAGTCCAATCACTATGGTTTCCTTTATAAGCTCTTGTCCATATGACAAGGACAGTTGCATTTTTCTATAAATGGTTGTTTTGAGGAACTACGCTCAGTACTTTGCTAAATACTTTTCAGATGCACACAGTAAAAGAAATATGCTCATAAAATAGTCATGTCAAAGTACATTTCTTACTTCCTTTATCGTTTAAAATACTGCTCTTGTTGTTTTGTGGTAAATAACCAATAAATCAAACAGGTATATGTACCTAGTTTAGAAGTCACAGATGTTTATTTTAAGTGCCTATAAACCTAAAAAGCATGATTTTTCTGAAAAAAGAGCATTTACAAATCTACTTGCCAAGGACCAAATGTATTTCATTATGTCATATTCTAAGAATAAGGCTGGGTTCACACCTAGGCATTTTGAATATGCACGTTTTTCGCGTGTTTTTTTACCGTGAATCGCGGTAAAGAAACCGCGCGAAAAACGCGCGTCTCCGAGGGCTACTTTGCTGTATCCCAATGGAACCGCCCGACCAAAACACCCCAAAGAAGTACATGTACTTCTTTGGGCGTAGGGCGGTTTCCCGCGCGGGAACCATGCACATTGAAAATAATGGCATTTCCCTGTTTGAGCGGTTTTCCGCGAGTACGAAAGCGCGGAAAACCGCCTAGGTATGAACCCAGCCTAAGCCAGAGAATGTGTGCCCAATCATCAAGTTGAGTTTTGGAGTTTGTGCAGGTTGTGTATTGTGGTAATTTTGTGGATGTGGAAAGTTTCATGTAAAATATTTAATTCCTCTTTCATGTATGTAATGAATGTATTAAGGAATATATAAATAAATAATGGAAAGTGGAAATGTCTGACATAGAATATCAATGTAAAGGAAATAACACTAATGAAATCAGGAGATTATGAAAATGTATCTAATGGAGGTCTCATGAAGTTCTGGATGTCCCTATAAAATGAACTTAGTACCCAATGCACAATGTGTGGCAGCGTATCACAACGCATATATCGTACATTGTGGTGCTCCACAGGGAACTGAGAAAAATGCTGCATGTTTGTTTATTGATTTGTTGAGGTGTATGGGCAGGACATTCAAATAAATGGGCTGTTTTAACACAACAGACTTTAACACACTGCAATGCGTGTTATTTCATTGGCACAATACACCATTTAGGTGTAAACATGCAGAGCTCCTAGAGCTGTCCCTTAGATGTGTAATACCCCCTTGACACCTAATAGTATGTGAGGGACCCCAGAGCCAGGTAGGACTAGCATTTCACTTCAGGGGTAAGTCCGTGGCTGATTGTGGGGTGCGACTGTAAGTTGGGCCACAGTCACTTTAAGTTGTTTTTAACAAATGTATTCTTTCATCAGCTCACATAGGAGAAAGGGTTTAGGGATACATACACCAAGGACAACTGCAGACTCTAGACTTTATATCCACTTTCAAGCTATGCTTTGTAGAGAGCCTTTAAGGTGATTGTGGCAGCATTGTATGTGTCAGAACTTTAGCTGGTTAGCAGATTGCTTTGTGTTCTCCCAAGAGAGTCACTAGATCCTTTTGAGGTTCCAACCTTCACTTATCTGCCAGCAGATTCACTCTCTCTGGATCTCTATGTTGGGTCAGCTTCCCCCTCACAGGCAGCTTCAGGTCCCAACTCCAGGCCTCCATTTCCAAGCACATGTAGGTCTGCACAAGATCCAGTAACACACTCTCCCCCAAGCAGGAGCCCAAATGGGCATACCTCTGGTTGGTAACAGATTATATACAGCAACATTAGTAATTGTTGTTGTAGTGACAGTTGTAAGACTTTATTAGTTGTGACTTTAGCATGTTATATACGGTTACATCTCAAATGGCACACACTTAATCCTGCACTACAGGCACACACATGCAATCCTGCACTAGAATCTCTTGCATACAAACTAGCCTACCCTCCTTTTTCAAGTTATTGAAGACTTATGTTCCTTTTGCAGAGAGTTGGGGGGAAAGTACCGGTGCTCAGCTGAATCCCTAATTGTTTCTGTGCTCATTGTTCAAAGTCTGAGGGGAGAGCATAGCCACTGCTCAATTTGTAATGTGTGTGTGGTAGGGGTTTGGGTACTGCTCAGTATAAAGCCTCTTGAAGGGAAACTAGTGATCATGTATGCTGGAGGAATGATATAGAGGAAAGACCAAGGTGCAAGCTCTGGGGCTGGACATGCTTCCCAACTTTTGAACTTGAGAAAGAGGGAACTTTGGAATGGCAAAGATGGGAGGCACAGAGCATGCCATGCCAGAAATAGCATGGCTAAAATGCTCTAAATATTGGGCAGGGCTTAAAGGAGCATGGCTAACTATATTCTGAGCCTACATATTGTATACACTGTACACAGTGTATTCTGCAGTTTTTTTTTACCCACAAGTGAGGTCAAGTGAGGTGAGGTCTTATACAACCTAAAGGAAAAAAATTAATATATACAGAAAGCTAACGCTTTGTCTGAACCTACCTTAAAGGAGAACTATGGGGTCAGGTCTTTTCCCCATAGTTCTCCTTAAGGTAACGGGAGGACACAAACTAGCGTTCTCCCGTTACCCTAAGCTCAGTATACCGCGAGCTACAGCTTGCGGTATACTGAGACGCCGCAGCCGGAGCGGATCCCGACATCGATGTCTAGATCCGCCCAGCTGCGTGAGTGACAGCTGGCTCCGCCTATCTAGAGGCAGAGCCAGCTGTACCCGCCCCCTCCCCAGTCAGCACTGGCGGAGCAGGGAGGGGGGGAATCCAGCCCCTCCCCTGTCACGGCAGAGAGCCGTGACAGGATCGAGAGGTGAGCGAGCGCCGGTATCTGTTTGCTCCCCTCCCGATCTACTGAGCCGACCTGTGACAGTCTCATTGTCACAGGTCGGCTAGAACTATGAGGTGAGTGGAAATCACTCATCTCATAGTTCTCCTTTAAAGAATTTCATTAGTTTCAATCTACACAGCAAACAACAAACAATTGGTATTGGTCAGGTCTATGTAATGTACTACACAGCACATAGAGTGTGAGGACAATGCAATGAGCAACATAATGTACAGAGTGCAGCAGTAGGAATTATGTATCATAGAGCCCCTTAGATTGCTGGTCAGTGGAAGAAAAACTGCGAATGGGTTTTATAAATACAGCAAAAACAAAAGATAACCCTAAAGGCACCCTGATAAATAAAGCACAGTCCATAACCTATGCTAATAACATTGTAGTCAGGAAAAGAAACTGGAGTAAATAATGAACAAACCAGGGCAAACATCAGAGAGTTGAATTAAAGATGAATGAAGGGAAGATAAAGCATGTGATTATATTAGAAAAAAGAACAAACAGAAATACATGAAGAATATATGCCCTAAGGAGATTAGATACGTCTTCCAGGAAAGTACCCTCTGCTCCTCACCCTGCAGCATTGTGTGTACTGTTTACGCTGTACACCATGAGTGGGCAGGGCTTAGCAGCAAAGACCTGGGCACTGGCGTGATTGCCGGCAATAAGGGACCAATCACACATACTGTGTTGTACCACACCAGATCAATGTAGGTCACAGCAGGGACTAATAGAAAACAGTTGTTTTTTTATGTGTCCCAATCA